ACTGGTTTTCAGAAGAGTCAAATCGACCATCTATTCTGAAGTAATAGTGTGTTTCAGATCTTCAGGACCTTGGCAACATGACTCAAAACAGAGGAATTAAGGATAAATCAAGCAACATTAAAGAGCCTAATAGGAGTTGTGTTTAGAGCACATCAGTGGAAAAGCGCAATAGCAAATTAGGGTTCCCTGAACAGTTCTGCGGTTCTGGCAGGAGAAATCCAGTGTCTAGCCAACTCAGGATCAGGTGGTGGGAAACCAGTCCTTGTGGAATAATTCTTTTACTGGCAGTCTTTCTTTTTTTCTGGTTTTGATTGTTAAGTAGCTCTCTAAATGTTCTCTTCGTATTGGGTAAAGGGCTTGAATCTGAACAAGCTTGAATTCTGTGTAGTTCACATCACAGCGTCTGTGTTTGTTTCTTTTGCTATCAAATATTAAAATGTATCAAGTACTAAAAGTATTACTGTAGTCCTATGTAAGAACTCTTGTATAGCATAAGAGGATGAGATGGAGAAAGGTGCCTGGGGTTGGCAGACATTTCTGTAGTTCATCCACATCACAGAGGGAGAACTGAGTTTTTCTAGAAGCCAGTTCAAAGATAGCAGGAGAAATAGTTGTAGACTGAATGTAGACATTCCAGTGAAGGAATTTCAAGGTAGAAACATATTGCCATGGAAACGAAGATTTGAGTAGGAGTGAGAAGTAAGAATTGCAGAGGGAAGTCTATTTGGGAAAATGAAGGAAGGAAAAATAAGCTTTCAGTTTAACTCACAGTTGTGTTTGTCGAGCAAGTCAGCACTCACTTTTGACTGCCTGCTTGGTCCTTTTCACTCACAGTCTTCTGAGTAAAATGTATGTGTACGTGTGTATTTTTAACTAGACTAAGCACTTAAAGATTAACTGCTCTTTTACTCGACTCAGCTTTTTAACTAGACTCAGCCCTTAAAGACTTAAATAAAGATCAGGAAAGATGTCTTTTTCATTTCTTGCTGTGCCTTCACAGTGGAAAACTCAACAAATGTTCGATTAACATTTTTCATTTAATTTCATTTTCAAAGTGCCTTCTGACTGTGTGCAAGGCATTGTCCCAGGTGTTGAAGGACTTAATACATTACTCTCTGATACGAAGAGAGTTGACACTCAGAAAGCAGAAGGAGATTGCAGCAGGAAGACTAATATTAGCTACTGTGTGTTTAGTATTTGCTGGACTTAGCACTTTACATACATTATTTCATTTAATTCTTTGGGCAAACCTAGAGGATTAGATGATATTATCCTCCTCTTTCTTAAAGAATCTGACTCTCAAGAAAGATAACATCAGTCATTGTGGTAACTGCAGGTAGGTAGCAGGGTCCGCTGTGGCGCCTGGTGTGAACCAAAGCCAGGCTCCTAAATATACCTTGACGTTGCCATGTGTGTCACCTGTATGCAGGTGACAAACAGCATGGGCAAGTGCAAAAATACGGGTTTTAAAAGCCATTAAGAGATTATTGAGCATGAAGTGATTATATCTAGAAGATCTGGACAAGTGCCAAAGTGGTGACAACTGATACAGACCTTGAAAAGGTTAGTGTAGGCTAGAGAGGGATCATTCCCAGCAGAGGGAACAGCACCAGGAATGATGTTGAGATTTATTAGCACAAGTGTCTGCCTTCCAGTATGACACTGTGTATTGACTGTTTTAATAGCACCTATTAAAAAATCATTTTTTTTCTGGCATATAAAGTGGACGCTAAGAAAATGGAGTGTTTCCCAAGGCATGGCCAATCAGACACTCAGTATGTAACCCATGCTGGACCTCGGATGGTATATTTTTTTGGTGATGCTTATTCCAATTTGTACTGCAGTTAGTTACAGAGTTTCATTTAAAGACATGACCATTGTTTGACATAGTTGGGTACAATAATGGCCCAGGGAATACCGGTGTACATGTCCCTACCTTCAAAACCCTTGTTTATAACATTTTCTTGCTTTGACATTGTTTTTTTTACCTGCTAATTGGGAGCAGATGATGCTAACTAATGAGAACAATTATATCATCATAAGATCTCAAAGCCAGTCAGTACTCACGGGCTGGAGTACTTATAGCAAGGTGCAGACATCCTGCTTCCTCATCTCCATTTTTGTTAAATATTAACATATGAATTTTTATGACCACAATCTGCCACTAACGCTTCTGCCTCTTCACCCCATACATCAAAGTTCCATGACAGCACTTAAGCCTTCATTTACAGAGGAACTTGCACATTCTGGCTGTTTCATCCTAATGCTTCCTAAATGGTTCTTTTTTTAAATATTATAATTGCTATTTTTATAGGCAGAGGATAGGAGACAGCGACTTTGACAATGTTTACTTACATTGACTGTAAAGTATTATACCAACCAAGAGTGCGACATTCAACATAACGACATTCACTTCATTCTTGATTTTTTTAAGATTTTCTGGTTGAAAGGGAGATTCTTTCTGAGGAGATCATCTGTTGTGGTTCTGTTGCCGTGGGCAAGCAGAAGTGTTTACTAGATGTTTGACAGCTCTGGTCCTTGTGGTCTGTGCCAGTTCTGGAATTCAGTAAGTCTGTAGTCTAATTAGTTCTTATTTACGTGAGTAACTATAGAAAATTTTAGCCATTATGTTAAATTATTAACTTTTAAAAGCCTTTTTTGTGTAAGTGACAGATCTTTGCCAAATTGGAATACTGTTTATTAGCTTGTTTCACACAGGATTTATACTTCTTAATTGCAGCAGCCAAATCACTCCAAACATCATCTAAAAATCTATGCAGATCAGCAAGAACAGATAAAACCGTAAAACCCCATGCTTTATTTTAGGTCAGTAGGAAGACAGAACACTGCAAACTTCAAATGATCTGTAGTAGGAAGGTAAACACCAATTTGTAGAAAAAAATACTTCTTACTTCTCTTCTCAAGCCTTTGTGGGTTTTTGGAAAAATTATGCAGAGAAGTGTAGATGTAATTGAGCTAAAATTAGCCCTTAAGAGAGAAAAATCAATCCTGAATTCAAAAAGACTGAAGAAGAGCCTGAGTAGCTCAGAGCACTGACTACAGGGAAAGGATTTAAAATGTGCGTAGTGCATGTGAGCAGCCTTGGGGAGGCAGCGTATCTGGGGAGAGGAAGTGGGAGGCGGAGTAATGACCCCATGAGATGTCCATGGCGGAATCCTTGGACCCTTTGAATTTTGCCTTGTTTTCTGAAAAAGGTACTTTGTAGATCTGATCCCATTAAGGATATTGAGATGGGGGAGATTATCTCCTGCATTATCTGGAGAGGGGAGTGCTAAGTGAAATCATATATACATTTATTAGAGGGAAGCAGGATGGGATTTGACCACAGAAGGGAAGGCAATGTGAGAACATGGAACCGGCATGGGGACAGAGACTGGAAGGATGCAGCCACAAGCCCAGAAACACGAGCAGCCACCAGAAAGTGGAAGACTAAGAATGAATTCTCACCTGGAGCCTCTCTGGAAGGAACTAGCTCTGCCAATACCTGGGTTTTAGCTACATATAGCTTACTTTAGACTTCTAGTTTCCAAAACTATAAGACAGTATAAATTGATGTTGTTTTAAGCCATTAAATTCCTCGTAATTGGTTATAGCATCAAAAGGAAACTTATGTAGAGATTAAATGGGAAATTTCCTTGTGGTAACTCCAGTGAAAGCACAAAAGAAACAGAGGGGAATTTAGGATCGTGAAAGACATAGACACACAAACAAGTAAATGGAAAGCACACAGGTTCATCACACCAACAAACCAGTCATTAAAGAAATGTTTGTACATTTACAATGTACAGTTTTACAATTTGCACAAATTAAAGTACATTTTTGCTACAGTAACCGAAGAGGGCACCGTTAATCTAAAAATTGTGTTAACCACTCCAACCCACCACCCTCATTCATGAAATGAAATTGTAAGCAGTCTCCAGAACTATTCTAATAAGAAAACAAAATGAGACCCAAAATCTTTGAGTTGGTGAAAATTAGTCTCGTACCACCAACCATAAAGTAGGAGAAAACTGGAACACAAACTACAAACTGAATTAAATATTCTTAAACAGTTATTTAGGACTACAGAGGAGGGAAGACCCTGTAAGTCAAAACTTTAAATTTAAGAGCATAAATGGACCCAAAACAGGAAGAAGCAAAATACAGTTTAATCGAACTTAGGAAATAAATGTAAAAATAGGTAAAATCATATGCAGTAAAGACTAAATGACAATGTGCTCAGGGGTGGGAGAGGATTTGAATAGGAAAACTTGATAAGGAACATTAAACACAAAGGGAGATAACCAAGAGAATGAAAAGAAGATAAAGGTAAAACTGGTTTTAGAAAGCTGTTGAAATAGAAGACAGGCAGAGAAGATCTATCTGATGAATAATTGGAATCCCTGGAGAAGAAAAACTAACCAGTGAAACACAGCTAATATTTAAAACTACCACCCCCCAAAAAAACTTTTCTAGGATTAAAAGAGGACCTGAAGGTACATATTGGAAGAATTTCCAAGTACCTAGGAAAACTGACAAAGAATAATCAACTCCTATTTTCTAGTAAAAGTCATGAACTTTAAAGAAAATAATTTTGTGATCTATAGCAGGGGTTGGCACACTACATTTAATGGTTGATCTTTGTGTAGAATTCAAGCTAAGAACTGTTTTTATACATATTTGTAATGGGTAGCAAAACAGAAATGTGACAGAGAACATAGGTCACCCACAATGCCTAAAATAATTTACTCCTTAGCTCCTCACAGAAAGTGTTTGTTGACTGCTGGCCTACAGATGATGATGATGATGATTATGATGATGATGCACTAATTAGGATGGCATCAGACATCTCCAAAGGAACATACAAAAGAAGGGACAATTCAAGAAATTCAAAGAAAGTATGAACCAATAATTTTATACCCAACCAAAGTTCTTCATCAAGTGTAAAGCTGTAGAAAACCTGTTCTAAACATGTAAGAACTCAAGGATTTCAGCATCCAGTGAGCTCTTCTTGAGGACATCAAGAGAATGAGTTTTGGCAACCAAGGGAAGGCTTGGAAAATTTTGGCAAAATGATGGGATAGTGAACATTTAATATATTCACTTGGAGATGTAAACCTAGAAAAAAGGTATGTTTGTGAGTAGGAGAGTAATACATAAATGTTCTGACAACATTGAAAGAGTGTATTCATTCAATTTGAACATGGACTGTAGATTAGATGCAATTACTGATTTTGGTGATGAGATTATGGTTATATAAGAGAGTGTACTTGCCCTCAGTATATACAGGCTGACAAAGCCAGGGGTTTGTATCGGTGGACCTCAGAAAATCGTTCTGGCCGGCTGAGAAAGAGAAGGGCCTTGAATGGGAAATTCAAAGGATCAGGAGCAGATATCAGAAATAAGTCAAAAATGGGATTTAAAGGTGGTCAAAGTAAAGTGGTTTGGAGTATAGACTGGGAATATCGAGTCCATGGGCCATTCGTTGATGTTGGCAGGAACAAGGCATTCAGCTTAAAGACCAAGGCCAGGCTGGCCAGGGACCAGCAAAGATGAGTGATGGATTATTTTAATTCATAGACATGTAGTGCAAATGGTTTCTTACAAAGCACTTGACTGTACTTGACTTTTTTTTTTTACTGACTTTTTTCTTTTCAACAAGAAAAATGTTTATAAAGCTGTTTCAAATGCAATTATAAGTTTGAATGGCCATGAAGTTCAGCATAGACTGGTTACATTGTACCATTTTTAAAGTGCTGCAGTTAAAACAGTAACAGATGAAACTATGCAAAGGTAATATTAACTGATACATAAAAGTACTTTTTAAATGTAAATAAATAAGTAAAATTTAACATTTTTTTTTATTTTAAAGGTAAGAAAAACTTTTTTTTCCTCATGCTAAGTTCAGATCTGCTCTTTTGGTCATTGCCAACACCACTGTTTGCCTTTATTTGCTGAGCCATCCAGTTCTTTCTGTTTTGCTCTGTTGGGTGGAGCAGCGTTCTCTGTGGAAGTCACAGAGGGGTGAGAATTCTCTCGTGGTCACTATATGGATGGAAGGAAGGAGGTTCTCAAACTTGTACATAGGCTCACACATGCTGTTTCTGCTGGTCTGTCTGCTGATCAATGGGACAGACAGTCAGGCTGAATGAAATGTGGACCATGACTTACCAGGTGATGGTTAAAACCATGGCAAACCTGAGGACTAGCCCAGCTTCCTGTAGGTGGGCTCTCACATGCTTCATTGGCTGGGTTTTGTTTTTTTTCCCCCCTAGAATTACACCTAAGGATTTTCTCAAAGGAAGGAAGCCCTTAAATTACCTGTATAAATTCTACATTGAGAATTATGTGAGCATGAGGGGGAGAGAAGAGGGGAGGTGGTATGAAGAGAGGAAAGCACATGGTAATGCGAGATAGGAGTCATTCACCCACGCTGCAGACTCTGAGCCTAATACTAACTTTGGTCCTGGGGGTACAGAAGTGAGAAGCAGTCACTGTGATTTCAGAGCCTACAGTCTCCTGGGGAAGACTGATGGGTCAGAGAGTTAGAGGCTGTGCTGAGGGGAGACAGATGTTCAGCATAAAACCCAGCCTGGGAGGCGATCAGGGAAAGTTACGTGGAAAAGGTAACTGACAAGATGCGTTTTGAAGGCTTACGTTAATGACGTGATGAAGTGCAGGGAAGGTTAGTAAAGAGGGGAAAGAACATTACAAGTTTGAGGAGGAAGCACAAGGCTCTGTGCTGTGAGTGAGGCCAGGATGAGGAGCTAGACATTGTAGGAGGGCTGTAACACCCTGGAGAACAGAGAAAAGATTGAATTAAGAAAGAAATGTGAGGGGGAGAGTATAGCTCAAGTGGTAGGGTGCATGCTTAGCATGCAGGAAGTCCTGGGTTCAATCCCCAGTACCTCCTCTAAAAATAAATAAATAAACATGATTAACTCCCTGCCCTGCCCCCCCCCAAAGAAGAAAGAAATGTGGTATATGTGTTAGTTTCCTAGGGCTGCCTGAACAGATCACCACCGACTTTGTCTTAAAACAACAGACGTGTATTCTCTCACACCCCTGGAAGCTAGGAGTCCAAAATGTGTTCCTTCTGAAATCTGTGCAGGAGAATCCTTTCTTAATTCTCTTAGATTTTGGTGATTGCTACCAATCCTTGGTGTTCCTTGGCCATTAGATGCATTACCCGAATCTCTTTTTCTTTTTGTATTTCTGTCTCTGTGTCTCTTCTTTTAAGGACATCTGTCCTTATTACTGGACTCAAGGCCCACCCTAGTCCAATGTGACTTTATCTTAACTAATTACATCTGGAACAATCTTATTTCCAAGTAAGGTCACATCTGAGGCACCGGAGGTTAGGACGTCAACATACCATTTTGGAGGGCACAGTTCAACCCAAAGCAGTATTCACAAAAGGAGTGTTCAGGTTTGTAATTTCTCCTAGGAGCTGCCTAAAAGAAGGGCTCTCAGTGGGAACCTACACTTGTGGGCTGATAAACTGTGGTGATTTTCTTTTAACAGCATATGGTGGGAAAATGAGCAAACTTCTGCATAATGAACTTGGAAAAGAATGCTAAACATTAAAACAGCTCTGGCAGCCCTTGTTAAGTAAACAATTGGTAGCATTTTTCTGAGAAGCAAATTTGGAACCTACCTTCTGGGAGTCACTGTGATGGAGCAGTAAGTGGTTAGCAGAGCTTTGCCAGAGTCTTCCATGGGGCAAACAAACAAACAAAAACCCCCACAAAACCCCGACACACCCGATCCTAAATCATTGTACCTTATAGAATCATAAAAGGAATGGAAACATTGAGCCTCTGGCCTACAAAACAGTTTTATTTAAAAGGTCATGTTTGCTTTGAGATAGAAAGTCATAGAATGACAGCTCAAAGACAGTGTACATTTCTAAGGTTCAGAACACGGGGAGTGCAAGTTTTTGCCTTATGTTAGTACTGTTTCTCATCTGAATGTTTTTCTTATTTCTGTAAATCCTGATGTTTTTATTATATTCTAGGTTCATTTAAAAAAACTAATTATTTACTTAGAAGAAGTTAATAAATATCCCTTACTTTATAGAAATTTGTGTACTTTTTCAGGAACATTTCCTTTCTGTGAACTTAAAAACCCCTTTTCTATATTTCTCTGTTGCTAACTGTAGGGATGTGTTTGGCTGTTAATCTGCTGGGTGCATGGGCAACACTGAGGCCTTCAATTGCATCTTCAAACATTATTCTACAGTGTCACTAAATTTATAATATTAGATGGGGCCATTATTTTATATCATCTTATATTGACCTTATGAATAAAAGCTAAAATGGCTTCCTAATGTAACTTTTTTCATTTTAATAAACCAAGAGATTTTTAAACATTTCTCATTCATTCATGTACCACCATGCCTTAGCCTCTTGTCTCTTAGAATTATTATATGAATATATAGAATTTTTTTCCCTAAGAATCATGATTTTGAATTTTTTGCTATATAATTCATTATTCTCATTAGCCAAAAATTTTGTGGCTAAGATTCAAGTTGCCTTAATACAAGTAGCTTTAGTTTATTACATAATACTACATCCATGTTTTGATTACAGAATTTTGTCCTATATATTTAGGCATTTATTTCTCATATGACGACCAAAAAAGCAGGATTAAATTGCTTTTAGTTCAATGAAATGTTCAACCTTTAAATATAGAGTAAATGCATAAATTCAAAAAACTAGAAGAATGTTATAGTTGTTGTCAATCCCTCACTATTTTTTTTTTTTTTGGAGAACGTTAAATAGATTGTGTGTGTGAGTATGGAGTGAACATGGATATTTCCTAAAAGCAAAGCATGCTCAAAAGTTGGGCAGGGTAGAAGAGACCTAGTACAGATGAAGAATCAAAAGCTTGGAAATTTAGTGCCAGCCATACACCTAGCTTGCTATAACCTTTGGGAGCTCCTGATTACCTTTTTATAACAAGGACTAATAATTGCTATTCTCTTCCCATTGCTGAGCCATTGGATGCATCCAAGGAAATAAAGTTGGGACATTCGCAATTTAGAAATTTATAAATTAGAAAGAACTGTGTAAGTATAGGGTGATGATATATAAAATAACCTAATGGGAAAGACTCTTGGAATAGAAAAACCAAAGACTTTTTGATTTCAGCAAGCCATTTAAGAAAATTGTAAAGGAAACTTCCTTGAAGTTATTTAGGTAAGATGGAAAAATGTGAATGGAATGAATGTAACACCAAGAAGGTTCATAGGCAGTTAAACATCACTATGTAAAGAATGTTCTTTAAACAGCAGTAAGTCATGTCTAGGACGTAGTGGTTGTTTTCTTACATGTCGATGGGTGGTGAATGGCTAGCAAGATGTCACAACTCTAAAAATTTCTTTGATTTTGCACTGGAAATGCTACATATATCCTGTTAGAGCAGCATGCTTTACTTTGAGAAAGTGGAATCTCCTTAGATGCAAATGGTCAGAATGGTGAGAAATTTGAAAACCATCCTGTATAAACACAGCTGAGGTAACAAAGAGATACATAGCCCAGAGAAAAACAGACATATGAGGAGACTTTCAGTAGATTTTCAGATTCTTGAAAGTTTATCATAGGTGATGTATGTGTCTTCATGTCTAGTTCAGAAGGTAGTGTTAGTACAAACTTCAGAAGTTATAGGAAGTAAGGATTGATATATATGAGGAAACAAGAGCTTAGTAACAAGTAGAAGGTTTGAAAACGAGATCTTTCTTTCGAGTGCTTTGCGCTTTGCAACTGGGCAGATTTTAGATCAGTAGAGCTAAGAGGATAGGGTGGTTCAGACAAGGAGGATGCTGTGTGACTGGTGGCAGAATATGAACTGAGCATAAGGCACTTGTGGAATCATGAGGAGATTCAATTAGTATGGAAGGAAGCTCCTAGAAAAACTATAGGTAAATGTCAGATGTGAGCGTTTCACTGAACAACAAGCAGGGAAGACTAATAATGTTTCAATGAGTTAAAAGTCATCAACCATTTCAGAGCAAGAACTAACAGGGGATGTAACTGTTTAAGAAAAAATACGGATTTTATCTCCAGTGATAGATAAATCATTTCCAACCAACAACATCCTTGATAAATACAAGTTTGGATGCATTGGTAGAGATTAAGTAGTAGAAAATCTCTAGAGTTTATGCCTCCTGCCATCTCCTTAACCTAAGTAGAACAAATGAGCCAAAATCAGAGCAGAGAACTGGAATGGTGATTGCTCTGAGGCTAGTGTGTAGAAAGACTGCTAAATGCACATCAAGACTTGGGTAAGCAATAAGGAGAGAGGTTCTCCACCAGAGATACTTGCATTAAATTAAGACACTTGAGATGGGGTCAGTTGCACCCTGACTCTCACCAGAAGCAGGCAGAGGTCTTCTCTCAATCATTCTTAATATTAGGTTTGCAGGATTTTTAACATCGGCTAAGTTCATCACAGTCATTGATCACCAACTTTATGAGGAGCTAAACCATTTTGAATGAGAGTCAGCCGAAGCAATAACACTGAACATTTAGATACTTAAGGAGCTCAGATATTGGAATTATCAAATAAATAAAATAGAATGGCTGTGTATACATAATTAAAGAAATAAAAGATGAACTATGAAAGTGAGCTGGTAATGAAAGGCTATTGGGAATGCCCAGGAAGATCTAGAAAAGAACCAAAAGGAATCTCTAAGAATGGAAAACATTGTTGAAATTAAAAAAAAATTGAAATAGAGAGGTTAAGAAGGAGAAAAATGATAGCTAAAGAGAGAATTGGTGAATTGGAAAAATAGATGTAAGAATTATCCAGAAGGCAAAGTTGAATATACACACTCTCAGACCTCCCACAGTGGAGGGACCAGAAGGGATGGAACAGAGGTCACACTTGAAAACACGTTGTTTGAGAATTTTTAGAACTGGTAAGACCCGTGAATTTAAAGACTCAGGCTGTACGAAGTTTCCCAACTAGGATAAACAAAATTATGAATATGACAGTGCTTATCATGAAAATCTATTTTATTCTTTTCTTTTTGGAGCACTTGGAACTGAAAACCTGGAGTTGGTGACAACAGGTAAGAGTTTGGTTACCATAATTATATTGTAAGAAGATGCCTTGAGTTAATGAGATAACGTGGTGATGAAGACACAGTCAGTACCCATTTTTAATCAAAATCCAGGTGAATGATCTGTATGGTATGAAGGTGACAGAAAAGATCAATTCAGACAGTGACTTTCATTCTGGATTTTATGCCTAGAACACAGAAATTGAGAAAAGCTAGAAAGTTGAGATGAAATAATTGTCAGGGGAAAAGAGATGCTTGATTTTAGGTAAGTTAATCAAGTTTGGGGGATGATGGCATATTGGAATGAAAATTTCGTTAGGAGAACCCATCCTTTGAACATTAAATTTTTTGATGTTTAATTTGAAGAAAAATGTTTTACGCAGCCACACAGCTTTGTCTTATTATATGTCCAGAGTTAAAAATAGAAGGATCACCTTCAGTGCAGTATTTGAGGGTGTCCCGTGCTTTTATGTATGTATTACAAAGATACAATAAAAAGGAACAGTACAATGTAAGTTCAGCTACTGCATTAATTGGGAGTTAAATCTCTGGAATTGGAATTTTCTTGTTAACATAAATTAACAATGGCGAAAGTATAGGAACTAATCCTTGGACTTGGGCACAGACATGCTGGTTTTACTCCAAATTGTGTATTTTTAAAGCTATTGTACTGTTGCTTACGCAGGGTACTAATTTAGTAATGGAACTGTGATGGTAACATTTCAACAGAGTCTGATGAAAATTAAAAAAGGGTTATTGCTGCTTCAGATTTCAGCAAGGCAGAAACGACTGAAAGCCTTTTTTTTTTTTTTAACTTGCAAAAGTAAAACAATAATTTGAAAGTCAGAGGTGACTGAGTAACAAGAGTAATGGTAAGCTGCAGGTTAAATGAGTCACAGATGGATTCTTTCTAAAAAGGGAAAAAAACCTTCAACACCTCTAAAATTGTATGGTTTTTTGCTTATAATAGTGCATTGAATAAATATATGTTAAAAACAAACTTAAAACACTTGTGTAATATGTCTCAGGTAGCCATACAAACAAAACAGGTATGCAAGTTAAATTTAATCAACATTTCAGAAATCTATAAAATTTCAAGTTAATATCACATCCGTGGTGGGTGATGATTTCTTTGCTGAGTGTAAATCGCTGTCAACGTGAATAGCTTCTGAGTGCTAAAGCACTGGTGTCTTGAATCTGACATTCCTGGTCTACTGAGTTCTGTGTATTCTTGCTGCGTTTCAATTTGAGCTACCAGGTAACCATCAGTGTGGCTCCCAGTGCTGTCATTTGGCCTGTGCTTGGGCTACAGACATCACTGCCAAGTCTACCTTCATTCCTTTTCCACAGAATTAGGCCTGGATGTTAAGGTTGTACCTTAGTGTGTTGCTGGTACAGTAGTAAACACAAGTACAAACACAGACTCTGAAATTATGTGATAGTCCTATAATAAAATGATACAGAATATGGTTACATTAATTTTTAAGATCAGCACTGAAATGAAGTGACAGAATTTCTTAGGCATAGCTAGGATTTCTGGCATTTTGTCCTTTGGCTCGTTTGGACCCAGATTTCACAATGAGCTAAAACCAAATAAATTGAGTTTGTAGTGAAAAAAAAATTAAACATAAGAAAGGACCTTTCCATATTTTGCTGAAGTTGGTAAATAGAGCATTATTCTGTTCTCTAATGAAAATTGTGTTTGCTATGTATTGAATGATCCTAGGAAACAGAGAACTTTGGAGATTTGGGGGAAATGATTGTTACATAAGTCAGCCTATACATCCCAGGAAGCAAATTTGTAAGTTACATTAGTATTAGGAGGAACTGTAGGGTAGTAGGTTTTGTTAATGACACTTAATAACTATAATTAACATGTAGAAACTTTGAACCTGTTTTTTTTTTTTCCTGAAGTCTATGGTTGAGATGATTTCGATTGCTTATTTCTGGTCTATTGAGTATGCATTTATTCCCTTGTCTTTGCCTACAACTGCTATCCAGAGGTTTGCTTTAAGGATTTGATTTCCAATGTTGTAATAGTCATTAAAATGTATTTGATTATGGCCCTTCTCGATGTGGACCACTTTGTTATATTCGCTTGTATATTTTTAGCTTGGCTTTGTTACTGATTGAGCCCAAGACCAAGGGAACAATTTGAAACTTCTGGTGCATTAACTTTTTCATATACCCATTTGTTAAAATTCAGTTGAACTACCTATTTGAAAATTGTATGATTTGATATATGGATAGGGAAACTTTCAGAAAAAATTACTTAAGTCTTATTCTTGAATTAGGCTTTAGAGACAGACTTGGTAATTCTTTCTGGTAATATGAATAGCTTAGAAAGATGGCCAGATACTTTTCTTTTAGTATATTTTAAGATACCATGTCAAATTTATCATTCCCTTTTATTTTACTTGTACTGCTCTACTTAACAGGCTTATTGTGTATTTGTGGGATGCCATAATTAATAAGACTTTAGACTCTGTGGTTAATTTCAGTGTTTATTGCCCTTCTCTTGATGTGAAGATCACTTCATCACTGTCTCAGTGTGTTCTGGCACACACAGATGCCATACATATACAGCATCTTTATTTTAAAAAATGGAATTGCTTTAAAAAATTAAGCTATCAATTAAATGTAGGCCAAGTGAGATGATATCTTCTTTTAGATCACGTTACGTAAAAACTCTTGTTAGCACAGATGAAAAAGTGTAACGTCTTGATTTGTGGGCCAGACTGTTTTGTTAAAAAAAAATGATAAAGAAAAATTTTTAGTGGCACCTGCAGAGGAAGTGGTCTGAATAAAGTAGCTGTATCCTATTAGGAGAAACTAATGAAGACTGTACAGATGGGTGCCTTCATGATTCTCCAAAAGAAATGGCATTTAAAAAAAATAGATCAAACTCAGGCTCATATTGCTGGACAGCAATTATTTTTAGATTTCTCCTTGTGCAAGACTTTCACTAATCTTAGTTATATCATCATCTCGTTGCAGGTGTCAGAGGGCTATTGATGGATTCGATCTTTAGTACTTATACAATTAGGAATTATCTTTGAGAAGAGAATGATAGAAGGAAGGAATCTAATATTCTTGATTTAACAGTGAATCATTACTGTGTGCTGAGGAAGTTTCCTCCTTGTTGGTGTAAGGAACATTTTAGTTTGTGACGTGTAGCTGTTACGCTAAATAAAGTAACACCGAAAGTAATACTATAATGAGGTCTGGAACGCACCCCGACTGTCGAGTTATTTTCACTTCCTGGCAGCCCTGTGAGCACGTCTGCGAACTTGGGCAAATCATTTAATCTTCCTGAGCTTTGGTATCACTTCTATAAAGATAGAAAGAGGCTTCCACCTTCTCCCATTATATGTTAGAAGTAATTAAGAGAACGAATGTCAGTGGCCCCTAATCTGATACCAGGAATTCTTGAATTAACAATTCGCCCACAAATCAAGATTATGTAGGCAAAGTGATAAAGAAATAGAATACCTCCCTCAAAATAATTGAGCAGTAAAAATATTTGTACCCCTCTCTGCTGTTTCCGAACATCTTACCCTTCCAACCCACTTCTCCATTCATTCCCTCCTTCCCTGCTCCCTGACATACCATAAGCATTCGGGGATAATAAACGTTCAAGTAATTAGATTTTTATAATTTTACTTTTTCAATTATCCTCACACTTAGTGAAGATTTTGTGTTTAAGTAGCCTTAAAAATAAGCCCTTTAAAATACAAGCACTGTAGGAGATTAAGTTCTGTCTTGAACCTCTGGTCCCAAGTGCTAAACTACAAATTTCCACTAAAAATATTTACAGATATATAAAATGAACTTGCATATTTTTACCCATTAATATACTTCAGGGAGGTTCATTTGATTCTTTTAAAAAACAGCCTTTAAAATAACTTAGAAAACAGTCTTCCAGCCTCCCCACCCTGAATTAATGATTCTTAAAAAAATTTTTTTTTCATGTTTGGGTTGACGGGATGAAATTTATTTCCCCAGTTCGCAGCAGCTGCTGCTACCTTTTTTTTAGGAAGCCATGACCCTAGAGCTTAGGATGAAGAAAGGGATATGGACAATTCTTTGCTGATCTTCATTGCTTTGCTATGTTATGGAAGTTTTCAGTTGAACCTGGGGAGCACAAACCCATTAATCGGGGGCTGCCGTCACTGAGAAGATTTGTGTTCTCTGTTTTGGGGAATGTTTTAGAACTGAGGACCACGTCTTATTTATAACCATCAGGACAAGTTAAATTATTCTGTAATTTGGGCTAATATATGCCCCCCAACACACACACACACACACCCCCCTAATAGCAGGTTAATATGAAGGTAACGTTTCATGCTGAGGACAGGGTGGCCTGAAGACATTTCTATGGCAACAGAAAGACCCCTACAGAAATCTGTCCTCAGATGCTGTTTGATGGAGGCTGCCTGTTGTATGGACTGCAATTATCATTACACAGAGAAAGGTGGTTGAATGTGGGTGGACCACTCAGCTAAAGGTTTCTGACTGACTTGTTTAGCACAGCTTTGAAATAAATTTCAAAGGAATATTTAAGAACCTGAGATGACTGTACTGTTTGTCTCTGTAGGTGAAGCCATAGCTAATTATAGGATGTTTGCTGAATGTGAATGAAGTTTTTGAAAAGACAACATAAACAGCAACACAAAAGCACAATTAACAGTGATGGGTCTGTGTTAAATGATTTTAGCGTGTATGCAGTTATACTGTTTAGAGAAGTCTGTTGTTTCTTTTACTTCAGTTAAAATGGCCATTGAATTAATCAAGTTGTCACTGGAGTGTTTTTCCAAGGCTAACACTCTATGATTCAGAATTTGTCTTCTGTTTTTACGACTAGGATTCAGAACTTCCAAGATTTTTCTTGATTCTTGGCATAGAGCTTACAGCAGATGGGCCAGCAAAAATCTCACTCTGATTAGGATGTGTGTGAAGTGTTTTGTATGCCTGCATTTATAGTCACAAGCAATACATCTAGTAAGCCAATACAATGTTTTTACGAAAGGAAAACATGTAGAAATTTGACTAATTTTGGCAGCACAGTTGAATTTTTCACTTTAGTTTTTTCAAAATGAGATTTCAGTTGTGGTGTTGCAAAAATCAATTTCTTGGTATGTATGCTTGGTTTTCTAGAAGGTAAAAACTATAGTGTTCAACTACAGTTTCAGAGTCATTAGTCTCTGTACTTACTGAGATTTTTCATGGGTAATAATGCAGTTGCATAAGACTTTATTTGGAAACTGTGTAATCATCTCCTTAAGATGTAAAACCCTGAATGAATTTCACTGATGTTTAAATCATTCTATAATGTACTATATTGAAAAAAATGTGTTAAAATGCTTACAATATGTTCTCATATTTTATAGACACCTGTTTAGATAAGTATAGTGACTAGCAGTTAATAAAACTTGCTGAAAATAGAAGTGGTTGGAAACAAAATGATTTGTCTATTGAATATTTATAGAATAGCTTAAATAACTTTTATCTTGAATACGTGGTCTAATTAGGTGCCTATTCTACTCTAGCAAATTGTTGTCTCACTTGGATGGTTTTACATTCCATGTATGTGTTAACTCCTTATATGACTAGATCTCTCATCAATTTATTAAACAATATGAATTTGGTAAAGTATAAACATAAAATTATTTTATAATTTTCCTGAGTCTGTTAGGTTTCCCATTTGTATTCCTTAATTGGCATCTCATCTTGAATGTTCTCTGTAACTTATTAGTGACTTTTGGTCATTTAGAGAAAAAAAGCTTTCAGTCCAATTTCATGCTTCAATCTTATATCTAACTGTAAGCTCACCTCTTTTGTAGATGGCTCAGGGGAGGGAAGTAAGTTGTGTTTTTTTTTTTAATACTTCATCTTTTTATATATATATATATATTTTTATTGAAGTATAGTCAGTTTACAATGTGTCAGTTTCTGGTGTACAATATAATACTTCAGTCATACATGAGCATACATATGTTTTCATATTTTCACCATAAGTTACTACAAGATATTGAATATACTTCCCTGTGCTATACAATATGCACTTTGTTGTTTATCTATTTTGTGTATATTAGTTAGTATCTGCAAATCTCGAACTCCAAGTTTATCCTTTCCCACCTCCTT